GAAGAGCACAACAGGGCAAGCAAGATTTGTTTTTCTTTTCCGCAAAAATGGGCTGGTGCCATTTGTGATTACGCAGCAAAACAAAGCGCATGACGTCAGTCTTGAATGCAGTACAAAGCAATGCAGTGCAGTGTGTGCGCTAGTTCGGATTGTTGCTAACATTATAAGTACTACTAGCACAGCTACAGTCAACTTCGCCAATAACGACATTCGGCGGGGCATCAGAAAAGTGTCCTTATTCGCGAAGTGTCCTTATAACCGAAGTCCCATTTGAATGTATGTGAACCCATATTTTGTATAGTATGACATGCATATCAAAATCAAGCTCTTTTCTTGCTCTATGTCAATGTGTACTTTATTTTCATATTGCAGTTGAAAGGAACTAAAAATTCAATATGCAAGGGAAATTAATTGAAAAAATTAATAATAATATTATGCCTTTTTGATACAGTAGATACAGGGCCAGAGACATGTACATGTACATGTATGATGATTACTGTACAATCATGTACCACTACATGTACATTGTATACATATAGGTGTGCTGGTAAATCCAACAATTTTGAAGCCAACATAAAAAAGGAAGAAAAAGCCCCCTCCCCCTTGGCTGCATTTTCTTGCATGTGTGCCTTTATAATAATTATTAATTATGAATAATATCCATCACCAAAGGTTCTGGTACTTCTGCATGACAGGTACATGTACTTGACTGACAGGTACTTGAAATAGCTGTCAAAAGCCCAGAAAGTCGTTATTCAAGCAGTGAATATGACCTCGGGGCACTAAAAGCATGTCGCTATACGCGAATTGTCGTTATTCAGATAGTCGTTATATCCGAAGTTAAATGTATACAGTTAGATGGGACTTTGCTCTGGGCATGGAAATTCGGTCGTTATTCGCGAATTGTCGTTATATCCGCAGTCGTTATTAGCGAAGTTGACTGTAGTACACCATAAGCAGGGCCAAGCCCAGGAAGGCAAGAAACATGATTCTCATCTTGATTCGTCGCACGGAGCTGCAGCGGTTTGAGCCATGGGGGTCTGGGGTCGAATCACGTTGTTTTATTTAAAACTACACCGCTGCCACCAATGTAATGGGTAGCCGAGTGGTAGGCGCGGTGAAATCAACAAGAATTAATTTTATTCTATTTCTTTCAGGTACACACCTGAGATATAATTATTAGTGAAAGAAGAAGCGGCAAAATAAATAAGATTCAAGTTCTCTCCGGTGCTCACCTATTCGAGGTTGACTACTTCTTCGAGTTAGCTTTCGTTGCTATCTAATCTAATCTAATCTTCCTCAAAACAGAAATGCGCAGCCGCTTTAATGCAGCAGACGCCGTACGCTTACATACATAAATACATGTATACATCAGACAAAGCTCCGTATTAGTTCCGTACTACTTCCGTATTGGTCGGGCAGGGATACTACAGTAACCACCCAGGAGAATGAAAGAAAAGTCAGGAAGAGACTGAGAAAGAGAAGAAAGACGTGTGTGACCATAATCGTCGGGAATCGAACCCGCAACCTATCGATTGGAAATCGCTGCACATACCACTGCACCATATGGGGCACGCATAAACACACACACACACACACACACACACACACACACACACACACACGCACACACACACACACACACACGCGCGCGTTATGTTCAGCAGTTGAAAGTCCTTGAGGCAGTTTGTATACATGTACGTATTCATAAGCCTGTTTTGTTTAAGCAGAAAGAGCACGTTGTTGCACTGAGGTTGTATTCGTAGGTTGACACTTCGTTCA